AGAGAGAGAGAGAGAGAGAGAAAAGATGAAGAGGAGGAGGAGAATAAAATGGAAAGGGTTTTGATCTGGAGGGAAGTATAGGGGGACCGGAAAGTACTATAGCTTGAGGGTATTGTTGTTGTAGGTTTTTTTTTCATATAAGACAATTTTAAGTAAACTCTGATTGGTAAACAGTGCCTTAGATGTCTTTTCGTTTGCTTGCCTTAAACTGTCTCGTTGTTTGTTTTTATATTTCTAAGTCTGAGCCAGTGGACAGAGCACACGACTCAACTCATACGACTTACACTTTAGCAATCGCATCACTATTGCCTTTAAGCAATAGTTATTTCATAATCACTGTCACAGACAGTAATTCACCCCCTCTCTCCGCATCTCTCTTTCTTTTTAGAGGGGTGGTCACCCTCTCCGTTCTGCACATGGCTAAATGTGTGTGTATGTGTGCTTGGAGTCGTGCCTGTTAATGGCCCTGTGGCACGAGCTAGAATATGAGAGTGTCCCAGGAGATGGACGCGGGCGTGGGTGTCGCCGCCTTTGATCCGATTGTCTCGATGTGACTGTGGGGGAAATAAATCTATGGTGCGCACGATGGTGGTGTTCGATTTTGCATTATGCAATCTGATTGCCAGTTTGGAGTGTGGGCACGGGGCGCCTGGATGGCACCGTTCAAAAGAACCGTCTGGGTTCCTTTTTTTTTTATCTCTCTTAGTTCTTCTCTTGTGTTAAAGTTTTTGGACGTGTATATGTGCGGGAACGCACGAACGTATTTTTTCCCGATTTGTTTTGTTTGCTTTTTTTTCTCTTGTCTTTTTTAATGACAGGGCATTTTTGTAATGCTTTATCTTAAAAAAAAACAAACAACTAAGCGTTTCTAGCGTCTTTATCTTTCTTTCTTTTTTTATGTTACTTGTTTGTAACACTTTTAAACCTTTGTACTTAGTGGGTGGTTGGCGGGTGCTCTGATGTGGTTTGCTTCTTCTTTCCTATAAAAAATGTATCGTCTTTATCTCCCCTTCTTCTTGTTTATGTTTGTTACTCTCTTGTAACGCCTCTAATCTTCTGGCGCTCATATGACCGTATGCAGTTGCGAGCGCCGTAAAACCCCTACTAAAACTAAAAACTTTGTACTTATATGATGTAAATGTGTTGCAAGTACCGTAAAAAAACTCGCACTAAAACAAAACAAACAAAGCGTTGATTGTGATCTGCTGTGATAAATTACTTAGCCCTTTAAAAATTTCTCCTGTATCCCCCCCCCCCCTTCCTGGAATAAAAATGGAGGAGATAAAGAGAGACAGTGATAGACAGACAGGCAGAGAAAATGCCGTACGAAATATTTGTAAAATTATTTTATTAAGAGGGGGGTTGTTATTAGTTGATATCCAGAATTATGGTGCATTTTCACGTGTACTTCTTTTGAATCTCTATGCCGTTTCTTTCTTTCGAATCACTCTGTCGTTTTCTTCTTTCGAGCCACTCTGTTCTTTTTCCTGTCTGTCGTCTTACATTACTGAACGGCCATTGTTTTGTTCAGCTGTAACTTCAATCTTTCATACATTTTGTAGGGCATTTTAAAGAAGTGGTGTAGGAGTACGTTGCTTAGCCCATAAATTCGTTTCCTTTTTGTTTTGTTTTGTGGGTTTTTTCTTTGGGTGGTTTATTTAGACGCTTGCGGGAAGAGGTGACGGGTACCGATAGTAGGTTCTGCTTTTTTCTTGTAAATATCTGTTTGCTATCTATGTGTATTGTCTTGCGTATTATCCAACAGAATGGTAATTACAATGCACATGTATTATGTTGTGGTGCTTGTTTTTAATCTGGGTGGTTGGCGGGTGCTCTGATGTGGTTTGTTTCTTCTTTCCTATCAAACATCTATCGTCTTTATCTTCCCTCCTTCTTTTTGTGTTTGTTACTC